TCAGACGTGTGCTCTTCCGATCTCTCACAAGTTTGGCGGGAACGATTCGCTCTTCCGGAATAACTCTTTAGGTCAATTTATAACTATATATTTTTAAATATAAAAGATGATTGAACATTGATATAAAAATTACGTTTTATTTCTTTTCGTACCTTTTACCTGTAGTTAAGATCAATAGTATTAATAATAATAACGTAAACGTGAACCTTCGAGAACATGTTGGAACATGTCACCAAAATGACGTTGCAGTCCACGTGGTAGCGGCGCGTTCAAAATGTCGGCATCCGCACACGTGATGGCGGTGGCGACGGTGGCAGCACCGCGTTCAAAATGGCGTCACCGCGCACGTGGCGGCGACGGTGGCGACACCGCGTTCAAAATGGCGTCACCGCGCACGTGGCGGCAGCGGTCCACGAAAAATATAATTGATAAAAAATTAATTGTTATCAATTAATTGTTATCAATTAATTAATGATTCAATCGATTATTGTTTAATTAATTAATTAATCCCCTCCCTTGACCTACATTCCCCCTACCCTTCCTCCTTGACCTACATTCTCCCCATCCTTCCTCCTTGACCTACATTCCCCCCCACCCTTGACCTTGACCTACATTTGGTCCAGAACCCGCCTAGTATATCTACTATTATGTAAAAATAAAAATAACTAATAAGGATTGCGCGACGGCGGCCTCGTGGTAACCGAAAAGTAGTACGCTGACACAGCAACGCGATCGCTATAAGTACGCGCGACGACAAGGCGCGCGAGGTTAATCTGTCGAAAGATAAGTTCGTGTCGCGTTACCAGGTCCGCCACGAATAGTTAAGTGCCGTAACAGCGCGTATCGAGTAAGAAGAAGCGGGAGATTGTGAAATAAACTAAGACCGGAGATAAAGGCGAATAAAGTGTATTTTGTGAAAAAGTGATCAAAGGCGTCTGAGTTATTTAGTTCCCCCGCGGAGCCGGACCCCGTTGTGCTAGCGGCACAACAATATCAACAAGAAAATTTAGAAAATAATCGTGCTAAGCAGGTGGAGCGATATAAAAGGGATATAGAAAATAATCGCGCTAAAAAGGTGGAGCGATATAAAAGGAATATAGAAAATAATCGCGCTAAAAAGATGGAGCGATATAAAACAGATATAGAAAATAATCGCGCTAAACAAGTAAAGCGATATAAAAAAGATATTGAAAATAATCGCGATAAAAAACGAATGCGTTACTTAAATTATCAGCATGAGCAAGATAGACAAAAACAAGTGGATTGTGATCGTAAGTAGTTGTACAATAAACGATATTACGAAAAAAACAAGTTAAAATCCAGTCTTGTTAAAAAAAATTGTGCTAGCAAAAATATTATTAAAAAATATGAAAAGTTTTGGTCACGAAATTATATAAAATTTCGTTACCCTGTTGCAATTGAAGATATTTTTAACAAACTTCAGATTAAAAACCATGTCGAAAAACGATTAGAAGCCGAAAGAATCGTACGTTGTTGTATGCAAATTCGAAACAATTATGCTGTCTCTTATACACATCTCTG